GATTCAGAAACACTCATTTGGCAGAAGCGGCATACACAAATCTGTGACTCTGGCAGTGTTCTCGTGGACCGTCACACTGTTGTTTTGGGAAACGGCTCTGTGATCATTACTAAAACATGACAGATTGATCATCTGCTTATTACACCAGAGTTTAATGAAATTTGGCCGGTTCCACATTAAAAGGACAGTTCCCCCAGAAATGAACATTTCCTCAGCATTTACACACACTCGAGTGGCAAACATGACCATCTGAAGAATGTTGCAATCCATACAGTAGGAACGAAAATACTATGGAAGTCAATTGCTGTTGCTGTGTATACATTTCTGGAGAGCACCAAATACATCCCTGGAGGTATGATTTACTGCAGTTTTTGTTTTCGCGAAGGCAACCCAGTGACGCAGTCAGTGCTGTCGCCTCACAGCAAGAAGGTCGCTGGTTTGAGCCTCGGCTGGGTCAGTTGGCGTTTCCGTGTGGAGTTTGCATGTTCTCTCTGCTTTCGCGTGGGTTTCCTCCGGGTGCTCCAGTTTCCCTCACAGTCCAAAGATATGTGGTACAGGTGAATTGGGCAGGCTAAATTGTCTGTAGTGTATGAGTGTGAATGAGTGTGTGTGGATGTTTCCCAGTGATGGGTTGCAGCTGGAAGGGCATCCTCTGCGTAAAAAAAATGCTGGATAAGTTGGCGGTTCATTCCGCTGTGGCAACCCTGGATTAATAAAGGGATTAACCCGACAAGAAAATGAATGAATGAATGTTTTCGTGAATCCACCAGAGGGCGCTGTGTGCGCTTTTCACATCTCAAATTGCTCTCGCGAGTGCCATTTGCACCTGCTGTTCTCATGTAAATCCACCAAAGGCCACTGACCGACTGACCGACCAACCAATAGTGTTTTCAGAAGCACAGATTGACCCAATCACCTCCATCTCTAAACCCAACTGACAGTTTTAAAAAGAAATTCAGAAAAAGAAAAGGCCTCGCCTGATTTTTACCACGTTTTCAGATTTTACCCCATTCTCACCCTGTTATTTACTTCTTTATTTTAGTTTTTGGCTTGTGTTTTTGTCTAACCCGCTTTCTGGAATCGCTCTTCACCAGACTCGAACCCCATCATCGTGGTCAACTCGATGTAATAACGTGGGTAAACTGTTAACCGTTGTCCATACGGAGGTAAGCTGCCAGACTAGGGGTGCCGCTAGGGGTGTTCGGGGGGATGGGGCGGAGTTAGGACGATTCCTAGGACCCACACATGTTGGAGGGCCCACACATTATCAAGGGCCCACAACCCCCCCACTCTTCAGTTTCATCCTCGACCCAATACGTTTCTGTGTGGAGTTTGCATGTTTTCCCCGTGTTGGCGTGGGTTTCCTCCAGGTGCTCCGGTTTCCCCACAGTCCAAACACATGCGCTATAGGGGAATTGATGAACTACATTGGCCGTAATGTATAAGTGTGTGTGTATGGGTGTTTCCCAGTACTGGGTTGCAGCTGGATGGGCATCCACTGTGTAAAACATACTGGAATAGTTGGTGATTCATTCCGCTGTGGTGACCCCTGATAAATAAGGTACTAAGCCGAAGGAAAATAAATGCTGTGCATAATTATAAAACTTAAGTCAACTTAATTCCAGCAGGTGTACACATTTTGTTTAAGTTCAGTAGCTAATTGCTCAATGCAGCGTTTGTGTGCTGTGAAATATGAGCTGGGGGAGGTTTTCTCCGCCACTGATGTCCACAGACTGAACTCGATAATGACAGTTCTTAACCTGCTTCTCAGACGCTTCAAATGCCTGTCATTTCTGTGCTAAACTAGAAGAGCGAGCTGAAATACTTCTACATAACAATCTGGGAAAGAGAAAAGAAGTGAGATTGTTGAGTTGAGCAGAGCGTGCTGCTGAGTACTGTAAGAGGAGCAGAGCTGTGGAGGAAAACACGGGAGAGAGCATCTGAGTTCAGTCCAGATATACATACAGTGCAGGAAACATGATCTGTGTGTGTGTGTGTGTGTGTCTGTGTGAGCGTCCTTTTCTCTGTGTGTGTGTGTGTCTCTCTCTCTCTTTTTCTTTCTGTTAGAGTTTGCGTGCCTGTGTGTGAACATGTGTGTGTTTATTTCTGTTTGTGTGCATTTGTGTCAGTGTGTGTGTGTCCACAGTCCAAACACATGCGCTATAGGGGAATTGATGAACTAATCAGGCCGTAATATATGAGTGTGTATGTGAATGTGAGTGTGCATGGGTGTTTCCCAGTACTGGGTTGCGGCTGGAAGGGCATCCACTGTGTAAAACATATGCTGGAATAGTTGTCAGTTCATTCCACTATGGAAAACCCTGATAAATAAAGGGACTAAGCTGAAGGAAAATGAGGATACACATGTACTGGTACAGCTTTAATGCTTGAACGACTGTCTGAAAGCATTATGTCTGACGAATCAGCGTAAAATAATATCAAAATCAGCCACTCCTTGGCAAGAATGAGCTGTAATGTGGTGAAGTGTGTTTTCTCCAGCCGAGACTGAGCTCTTTTTGTGTTAACCTACATGTGCAGTTGTGTGGGAGTGTCTATTGTAATCCCCCATTGAGATTAAACAGTTGTGTGTGTGTGTGTGTGTGTGTAGTTGGGACAGGCTGAACCATGTGAGCGCAGTGGGGGGACGCAGGACACGCCTACATGGACCGATCAGATTAAATAAAGAGCCGTCACACAGAAGGAGAGTCTCGCTATTATAAATCCTGTAAAGGAACAAGTGCAGAACCTGCTGGTCTTATTATCGTTTGGGGAAGGACCATTTAAAGGGGTGGTTCACTTTCTTTCTTTCTCATTCATTCATTTTCCTTCGGCTTAGTCCCTTTATTTACCACAGCGGAATGAACCGCCAACTATTCCAGCATATGTTTTACACAGCGGATGCCATTCCAGCTGCAACCCAGTACTGGGAAACACCCATACACACTCATTCGCATGCACACACTCATACACTACGGCCAATTTAGTTATTAAACTCCCCCATAGCACAAGTGTTTGGACTATGGGGGAAACCGGAGCACCCAGAGGAAACCAACAACAACACGGGGAGAACATGCAAACTCCACACAGAAACACCAACTGACCGAGCCAAGGCTCGAACCAGCAACCTTCTTGCTGTGAGGCTACAGTGCTTACCTCTGAACCACTGCTTCTTTACACTGTTGAACAGAAAGGAAGATGTTTTGATGAATGCAGTAAACCTGTAACCATTGACTTCCTATGTAGGCAAAACAAACACATTGGAAGTCAATTATAAAGTACAAGGTCCAGCATTCTTCAAAACATCTCCTTTTGTGCTCAGCGGTAAAAAAAGAAAGACAAAACAGATTTGAGCCAAGTGAAAGAAGAGTAAACAACAACAGAATGTTCAGCTTTGGGTGAACTATCCCTTTAGCATTTGCTCGGATTTTTGTCATTCTGCAATAAGTAGCACTTTCATCTGCAACAAATAGGTGTAAATATTTATATTAATTTTAACCACATCAGCGAAAATCGATTTACTAGTGCATGAGGATGATGTTTTGTTTTTACGACCTTATAAAAGCTGGGTGTGAACCATAGATAACTGATCAGCATGAGCGTGTAATTAATCATGAGAAAATCTTTTTAGAAGGACTTCAAAAAATTAAGCGGTGATAAAAATAAACTGTGAAACTGTCAGTCCTGGTGAGCTTTGGAAGGCATAAATAGTTGCTGGTTCAATGGAGTGTGCGTAAACATTATACACAAAACATTATATTAAGCTGTAATAGTTTATTAATTCATTAATTAAATGCAAACTGACAATACTGAAAACAGCTGATGGAGTATACATTAACCTGCGCATTATTCACACATTAGATGGCGCCAAACAGACGAAAACACAAACGAAAACAGCTGATGGAGTATACACTAACCTACACATTATTCAGACACTAGATGGCGCCAAACAGACAAAAACACAAATGAAAACAGCTGATGGAGTATACACTAACCTGCTCATTATTCAGACACTAGATGGCGCCAAACAGACGAAAACACAAATGAAAACAGCTGATGGAGTATACACTATCCTGCGCATTATTCAGACACTAGATGGCGCCAACAGACAAAAACACAAATAAAAACAGCTGATGGAGTATACACTAACCTGCGCATTATTCAGACACTAGATGGCGCCAAACAGACAAAAACACAAATAAAAACAGCTGATGGAGTATACACTAACCTGCGCATTATTCAGACACTAGATGGCGCCAAACAGACAAAAACACAAATAAAAACAGCTGATGGAGTATACACTAACCTGCGCATTATTCAGACACTAGATGGCGCCAAACAGACAAAAACACAAATAAAAACAGCTGATGGAGTATACACTAACCTGCGCATTATTCAGACACTAGATGGCACCAAACAGTCAGAAACACAAAGCTGACAGAAATGAAAACTGGTTGAATGGAGTATACACTAACCTAAATATTACTGAATGTGGATGTAAGTATATGAATGTCAATGTCAATATGTTATTCAGCGATTTATTTTTTACCTTTATTACAGTATATATTCATCTTTGTTAGCATTAATACAACTTAAGTTGTCCATCGTTAGTTCTTATTCACTCCCAATGCATTAAATAACCCTATTACACGCCGCAAATGTTACACAAATATGTTATTCCCAGATAACAATCGCTAAATAACACATTAATTCATTCATGATCCTTCGGCTTAATCCCTTAGTGTATTAGTGGTTAGTGTATTCTCCATCAGCTGTTTTTATTTGTGTTTTTGTCTGTTTGGCGCCATCTAGTGTCTGAATAATGCGCAGGTTAGTGTATACTCCATCAGCTGTTTTCGTTAGTGTTTTGTTTGTTTGGCGCCATCTAGTGTCTGAATATTGTGCAGGTTAGTGTATACTCCATCAGCTGTTTTCGTTTGTGTTTTCGTCTGTTTGGCGCCATCTAGTGTCTGAATAATGTGCAGGTTAGTGTATACTCCATCAGCTGTTTTCGTTAGTGTTTTTGTTTGTTTGGCGCCATCTAGTGTCTGAATATTGTGCAGGTTAGTGTATACTCCATCAGCTATTTTCATTTGTATTTTTGACTGTTTGGTGCCATCTAGTGTCTGAATAATGCGCAGATTAGTGTATACTCCAGTTAGCCAATGTAGTACACTGTCAGCTTTGCATTTAGATAAAGAATTGATAAACGATTAAGGCTCAGAACAATGGTTTGTGTCTAATTTTACATTTTATGGCAGGTAGCCATTTAATAAACAGGATAAAGTACATCCAGGTGGTTGTTATTCTGGAACAAAGCCCAACATGAAGCAATAAAACTCCTCTGAATCGGAGCCTTATTGTTAAGCAACAATAGGCCTATAAATAACCAGAGCATTTTCAATTCATATCTCAGCATGCCGCAGGCCAGATTAACATGTGCAAATAATATTAAAGCTTAAAATAAACATCTTAAGTCGTCAAGTATTTGACGCTGTTATGAAGACCACTGCAATCTGAATAATCTTAAAGAAAATATCTCCAAAAGTTTCAATTATTAATGTTTCTACAGTGTAAAAATGATGCAGAATTAAGTTGACATTAGTTTTTACACATTTAAGTGGATTGAACACAAAACAATCAAGTTGTCGCAATAAAAACTTAAGAATTGTGTTGTTTAAGCTCATTTTACATAAGTAGTCAGAACAAATCTCAAACGTCACCAATTAAGTGCACACAGCATGTTGAAATGCTCATGATAGCATGTTTATTATCATGATATAACGTGTTATTATTGGATATTGGCGCATGTGCAAACTGCACTGAGATTTACAGGGCATAAAATCGGAGCTCAGGGAACACAGATGGCGGTTTCCTGACAAACAACCAGAGGCCTGCAAGACATTTACGGGATTATTAGCATGTGGACTCTCGCTTGTTTTCTCTCAGGCAGACGTGGGCAGCGGATCAGAAGTGAGATCAGGGGTTGTCGGGTACATTCGCAGGTTCAGGAGGGTTTGTGACTGATACTGCTCTCAAATGCAGTGGAATTGATCTCTGGTCTGCTTTACAGCTGAACTTAACAGCAACACTGCATATGTTTAACAACAACACTGACCATGATAATCATCCACCAACAGTCAAACTAGCCGTACAGACATTTGTCAGACTGTATTTTACTGTATTGTTTCGGAGTATGTCGGTGTATTTTGGGGACAGCACCTCAGCTTTCCACTCATCATAGCACATGTGTATAAGTGATTTGATTTCATTTGAGGGACTAAATAATTATTATTCGCCCTCTTGTGAAATTGTAATTATCTTTCAAATATTTCCCAAGTGCTGTTTAGCGTGGAGATTTTTTTTCAACACAATTTTAAACTTGATAGTTTTAATAAGTAATTTCTAGTACCTAATTTATTTAGTCTTCGCCATGAGGATGGCATATAATCATTTACGTTATTTTGCAAAATATTAGTATTTAGAATAAAGTGCATTTTAAAGTCATTTCTTTGTTCAACAAAGGCTTTTTCTGAAAGCGTAGCCATATATACATTTCTGGAGAGCGCGAGTTATGTAGCCAGAAGTCTGTGTGACTGCATTTCCTCTTTAAAACGAATGCTATGGGGCAGTATGACGCCAATTCAGTGGCTTTCCCACTGTTACCAGTTTGTTCAGTGGCTCAACCTGTATGTTGGAGGCAGTGCTTCGTTTGTTAATTGCGAGGTCCCTGAATAAGTAGGGGTAACGAATTCGACATGTTAACCGAAGTTGTAGAAGTGACGCACATGAAAGCGGAGAGCGGGTGCTGTGTTGCGGACGAAAGTAAAGAGAGGGGGGGTGTTGGTGGAATGTGAGGCGTTGGATGCCGGAGGGGTGTTACGGACAGAAGTGAAGAGTTTTGGGGAGTCGCGGAAGAATGCGCGACTCAGATTTCAGAGGTGCCGGATTTGCCATGTTGTGGCACAAATTAAGCCCTGGTTGGAGGACTAGAGACGCAGAGAGGAGTTGACCATGATGGCGGGGTTCAGTTCCAGAGAAGGGGTCTGTGCTTTTAAAAACACTATTGGTTGGGTTTTGGGAAAGAGGAGGGTGGGTCAGTTGATTGGTCAGTCTGTCAGTCAGTCGACAGCGGCCACTAGTGCATTTAAGTGAGATCAGGAGGTGCGAATGGCACTTGCGAGAGATTCTTAAGATCTGAAAAAGCATACTCAGCACCCTCTGTTGGATTCGTGGAAACAAAACTGCAAAAATTATATATATTTTTTTCTGGGACGTATTTGGCGATCTCCAGAAATGTATATAGGGGTACATTTTTAGAATGAGCCTGGGTTGGGTTTGTTCTGTAGCCAATTGAATACAATTCTTTTAAAGAGAGTTTATAATATTGACCATATATGTTTTTTTCTACCCAGACTTATTCTGAAAACGAACCGCTAGACACATTTCTGGAGATCGCAAAATAAGTCCCTGGAGGAGCACAGGAGGTTTTTATGCAGTTTTTGTTTTCATGAATCCACCAGAGGGTGCTGTGTACGCCTTTTCAGATCTCAAAATTCTCTCACGAGTGCCATTCACACCTGCTGTTCTCGCGTATATTCACTAGAGGCCGCTGTCGACTAACTGACTAATCGACCGACCCACCATCCTCCTTCCCTAAACCAGGCCTGTAGCCAGGGAGGGGTTCTGGTGCTTTGAAAGACCCACCCCTCACAGACAAGGGTCTAGAATTTGTCCCATCCATGAGTTCATTTGTACTATTTTGACTGCTATGCCATCGTAAATTAAAAAGATAAATAAAACAATCGAAAAAGGTTGTTGTGAGTAGCTAATCTGTTTTTTGTTGTTGTTGTTGTTGTTGTTGTTGTTGAGTGCAACAACCAGCTGTGCAAGAAAACATACATGGCCCTATTTACGCTGCCAGTTAAACGTGACCAAATTCTGATGTTCATGTATTACACAGATCTGATCTGTGCTATGAATGTGTTAACAGAGAAAGAATGCATGCATTCAGATTTTCAGAGATGGGTTTCAGGCCTCCTTCATATGTGGAAATAAATCCGATATAAATCGGACATGTGACAATCCGACTATCATGTAAACAGGCAGGTGTGCGTTTCCCAAAACCATTGTTCAGCAACTAAGGTCGCAAGTTCTGTTGTTACAAACATAGTTAGTTAATTTGCCGTTTTCCAAATCCATCGCTCCAATGAACATTCGCAATCTGTGTCGCAAACTTGAGCACTTGAAACTACACCTCTGAAGCTGTAGTTAGAAACATGGTTCCTGGCTGGGTTCTATTCCCACTTATTTTGTCCGAACAACATGTGTTTTTGTTATCAGATTATTTCTGACTGTTTGCATCGCTCTGTTTGAGAAACGTCTAGATTTATTGATGTCTGCTCACTGCAGGGTTTAAACGGAGCAATTGCAAAACTGCTTTTAATTCTGCTACAAAACAAAAACTACAATTATAATATCTAGAAAATCAGTTGACATCTACCGAATGCAAAGCAACTCCCTGGGGCTGCTTTCTGAGACGGTCATGAATAATTGAAGAGAATGATTTAAGAGAACAGTTCTTTCAAAGTCAGTAAGTAAGGAGGAGGCTTGATCAGAAATACATTATTTAAAATAACTGTTCTCTATGTTTATACATTTTAAACTGTAATTTAATTCCTGTGATTGAAAGCTTGCATTTACAGCATCCTTACTTCAGTCTTTAGAGTCACATAATGCGACAGAAGTCATTCAAATATGCGGATTTGATAATCCAGAAACATTTTGATTATTATTATGAGTGTTGGAAATGGTTGTGCTGCTTCATGTTTTTTTTTTTTTTTGAGGGAATATCCATTAATTCATTTTCATGCTTTTCCAGCTGCACCCCAGTGCTGGGAAACCCCCATACACAGTACCACAATACCTGTAGCGCATGTGTTTGGACTGTGAGGGAAACCAGACCACCCGTGGGAAACCCACGCCAACACGTGGAGTTTGTGGAAACACTGATAATCAAACTTTTAAAAGTGTTAAACAAAACAAAACCACATTTTTATTTAAAAGTTGTGCATTAAATGAATTTAAAAGTTCCCTCAAAAATAAAGTTTTTAGTTAAAATAAACATTTCTAATAGAAAAAAACTGTTTTATTAACTCAGGAATGTAATAAATAATTCCCCTTTACAGAAAACCATCACATTAGAATTGATTATAAAGCAATTCTAATAAACTGAAGAATGGAGCGATGCTGCTGAAAATTCAGTCTTGATTCAAAACTATATTTTATAGCATATTTAAACAGAAACAGACACTTTATATTGTAAAAATCATTCTCTTTTTTGTATTTTCGATCAAATAAATTCTGTCTTGGTGAGAAAGAAACAACGAGCAAGCCTATTTTGGAAATCTTTAGTTACCATAAACTGTCATCATCTTCAGTTATTGAAGTAAAGTTGGTTTTATATTCGCACATTCGTTCATTTTTTAATAAAGTGACAACTTGTGTGCCTATATGTTGTTTGACATTGCTACTTTGAATATTCACTCTGAATTAGCATGTAATATGACTTCAAAACAACATTAGCACCCTTTAACTGTCTGTAACAATGCTGTGCTTTGATAGTCATTGGCTGCTAATATGATTTAGACTCTGAAAAGAAAACATTCTCTGAAATTATAATGTAAAGGAGAAAGTCAGAATGTGCGAATGTGAAACCAAACTTTACCTCAGTTTCTAAGTTCAACTCAAAATAACAACATTCTAGTCTGTGATGACATTAAAGAAAAAAACACAATAGTATATTTATAGCAGGTGTTTGAGCGCGTGTGAATCCTGCTGGTGGCCGTGGAGCAAGAGATGCGAGTGGGCGGCTGCTGGGTCAGAGTGTGGCGGCTCAGAGAGCAGCTCCGGGCGGCTCCAGCAGACGCAGAGCCTCGTATGATCAGCTGTGATCCCTTAAGCCTTCAATCTCCCTTCAGCTCACACTAACAGCACTTCAAATCTCACACTCCAGCACTTACTGAACAGATGGAAGATTCGACTCACCCACTTTAAACTGAGACGCCTGGTCCGGCTGCTTCTCGTGGTGCTTCACCAGCATCATGTGCAGAATCCCGAATGAGTTCTGGATGCCGAAAATCGAGCCGTTGCACCATGTAGCAGCGAACACCACGACCCAACCGAAGCCCCCCTCCGGGGGAACGAAGCCTTGTCCAGGGTGAGCGCCAGGCGGCGTGGCCGGACGCTTGTCAGTGCAGCCGGTGTGTATGAGCTGCACGGTGCTGTCCTCCGGGGCCAGCTTGCGCTCCTGCTCCTCGAACTCCTCCGCAGGGGAAGAGGACTCCTCAGCCTGCGGGTCCTCCGAGCCGGGCGTCCCACCAGCCGTGTTGTCATCGCTTTCCGAGTGCATCCTACAGGGAGAGGATGCAGACGCGTTTCCCCGAGAACTACTTTATAACATGCAAGTGAGGGAGAAAAAAAAGAACAAAAATAAATCCCTTCAGGAATTTCGCAGAGAACTAAGTCAATCTCGCGTCACTTTGCACGGATGATCACTCATAATCCTCCCGATAATGCCCAAATCCTGTTATGAGAGATCACTCTTCATAATAAAGCTGCAGGACTTCAAGCAAACGTTCTCTGAGGTGAAAACTGAGAGCGCGCGCGCGCTTTAAACCGACTCCAAAACTCTGCTCTCGGTCCACATCCTTTTTATCGTGCACCGACTCCTCCTCTATTATTTGTTGAATATTTACACCGGATCCCGGTGGGCTGCTCTGCTCACTTTGTTACAATGTAACAATGAAAGGACCCGCGAGAGCGTTCTAAACGCTATCCCGCGAATTAAACAGTGTAATGAGCGTTCTAAACAATGCTACATTGTATCAATGGAGTGTTCTAAAAAGAACTCGCGTTCTACAAATGTAACAATGTAACAGTCGCGCGGCGTAAAGAACAAAGCGTGTTCCGCCGAGTCTCCACTGTGCAGATCCCGCTGGAGGAACGGATTTAAAATTCCACCAGCGCAGGATTACGGAAAGAACCGGATACCGGAGACCACCCCTCCTCTGTGGCTCCAGCAGCCCGTCCCGCAATTGGCCTGAAACAAGGAAGCGCGCGGGGAGCTGTTCGAGATGGCGCGAGGACAGCAGATCCACAGTGTTATTATAGCTGCCTCCTCCTGGCACATTCACAACCCAACCGGCCACTGAAACGGACGACACCGGGCGCATCCGGTGAGCTTAGTATATGATTCCCTGGACGGTGCAGTTGCACTGACAAGTGCACGATCCATCAACGCCGGTCAAAAATCAGACAGTCGCCGGTGGTAAATGGGTCAAGGGCACCGCTGCGAACGCGCTCCGGCTCCGCGGATGACAGTTTGTCGGTATAGACGGCCGCGGGAGTGCAATCGGTGCATATAGAGGCGGGTTTGGGAAGCCATGACGGGTTATTATGGTATGGAGGGGGAGGATCCGTGACGCGCTTCCCTGTACAGTAATGCCTTTATCCAGGGACACATCCGCACACACCGTATATGTGTGATGAAAGAGGACTCGCGTTGTTTACATTAGAATGACGCTTTATTAAACCAAAACAACTTACAAAGTGTTTAGGCAATACAGTGTAAACAGAATGCGTTTGTATTGAGAAAATGGAACCTCGTGTTTTGCATTTCAAGCACCATTAGTGCAGCGCATAAAACACAGAAAAAAAACACAACATCAAGGTTGTAGAGGTGCACACACAGCTATCTGTTCATCTGATTATTAGTTTGCTTGTGTATTTACATAACCCTCCTGCTGTTTGCTGTGCTTGATTAACTGTGGATTAATCAGGCTTGAGTGACTGAGAAATCACAGGTTTATGGATGATCTGAGATCAGTGTCAGCTGATGTCCACTAGAGAGCAGCACAGAACAGCTGGTGAGTCCAGCCTGAGAGAGGCGTGCCAGCTTGCCAATTATGCATTGATTATGCATGTATTGTTTTAGGTAGTTTGTTAATACATGCTTCAGTAAATCAAATTTATATATGTATTTAAATTGCATATTATTCATTAATAAAATGTACAAGTTTCCAGTGTTTTAAGGGATATTTAGTCACTATTTTAGAGGTTGCTGTAGGTCAAACTATACAAATGATGTGTCTAATGTTTCTTTTTTTAGGCTACATGCAGATGTAAACACCTATTCTACATGAAATGGGTTTTGTGGATACCTGAGGTGCTCTAGAACTGCCAGTTTCAGACTGTTGCATGACATTTGTCCTATATGGATTGGAACGATTATGCATTCACAATGGTATGTCCCATTATGGGGGTGTTGGTGTCAAATGTATACTTATATTATACATTTTTAATTATTAATATTTAAGATAGAGATCAGAGGAAGCTATTTCGTATAATTAAATGACTGACCCCCTATACATCTTGTTTTGATGTCCTTCAGGGTGGATCAGGCATTATTTAGGGGGTAAAACCCCCCCAAACACCCCTGTAATTTGCACCCTGAGTCATCTTACTTAGATTTTTGTCTTGTTTCTAGTGTAATATCTTTTAAAAAGCATTTTCTCAAGACAAGCAAAACACATTGTCTTGTTTTAGGGAATAATAAGTCAAAATAAAGTGAGTTTTTCCTTAAAACTTTAACACATAATCTGGGGTAAGCGAAATAATTTACTGCTGATATGTTTTACAGTGTGGTTACTTGGACAAAACATAATGGGATTACATGTAACGCATCACCTTTGAAGTCAGAAACTCAGTGAGTGAGTGAAAATGTACTTTGACACTGTGAAAGAAGAACGTCACGCTGGAGAAATGCAATTAAAGCAGGATGTCACATTACTGTATTTTCAAACTGCGCTCTTTGATGATTGCATATTTTGGCGCTGATGATGTAAAGAAGCAAATACAGCATCTGTCATGTGTGACGGCTCATTATCAGACAGCCATGAGCGAGCGCTGCTGATGGATCATTTATTCATAGAGCTGTTAGTAATTCATGAAGGAAGCTCTGAGAAGATCATTGCTTTACAGAGAGGGAACAATAACATAGTCAAACTCTCCTGTGGCATGAAGATCTGAAGCATCTGAACAAATGTAAGAGTTGCCAGAAGTGTCTGCTGCACACATCCGAGACTTAAAGGGACAGTACACCATTTACTTGCCCTTGTGTGGTTTTTATGAGTTTATTTTTCTGTTGAAATGAAAAGAAGGGTTGCCACAGGGGAATGTTTTAAACAGTGGATGCCCTTTCAAATGCAACCCAGTACTGGGAAATACCTACCCTACCCTCTCTTCAGATCACCATCCAAAGCTTCCAGAACGCAAGGAACGCAAACAGACTGGATGATCAGAGACAACAGTACTACATCATGTCATTGAAAGGTGAGAAAACTTACAGTTAGTAACGGTACTCCTATAATAATCTATATGCTGTTGTAGTTTAAACATCAGTGTGTTTGAATGCTCAGATGTAAAATAGTGAGATAGCTAATATTTTGTTTTTAAGCTGTTAAACTATTAAATTAACAATGCAGTTATTTATTCCTGCAACATTTGAAATGCTACAAGGTCTTTATTTTGGTATTGTATGTTTAAAGCGATGAGGAAATGACTGGTCCACTGTTGAATTATTTTTTTTCAGCCACCTGATGATGAGAAAGACATTTTCAAAGTGGGCATCTTGATGGTGAGCCAGGGGATGTTGTGAACAGGGCTGTGATATTGATGGAGGGGACTATGAGTTTTGGATCTCAAAGGTTTCCCAAATTCTTTTGCAACATATTTAAACTATATGCTTTGAGCATAAACTATTCCAAAGGACTAAGATACACCTTTGATTTAGCTAATTTTTATGAAGATTTAGGTGAGCTGCATTTCAAAGACTTATTTTTCTCTAGGAGTGATGTTTCTTGATATGCGATCTTCTTTAACGTTTCACAACAAAGCAATCCAAAAGATGTTGGCACATGTGTTTTGAATATTTTAATTGTTTGGAGAAGATACAAAAAGTAAAAGCTAAAGTTGAACAAACCTTTCAAATAGCTAAAAGATGTTTGTAACGTTTGGAAAAACTTTGTTGGAATAACAGTAAAACTATGTACACGGACACGGTGCAAAATAAAATGTTTCCTCAATTTAAAAAACATATTATTTTACTCAAAATATACAACTTACTTAATTTTGGTGTGGATTATTTAGAGTTTTACTTATTTACAAAAGTTCAACTAACAATTTTTTAAAAACTGCCTCCAATTTTCCCCAAAACGTCAGTTTTTTCTTCAAGTTTGCGGAATGTATTGGTTTAGTTAGCTAAACTTGTCTAAATACTGTAGGTAGAACAAACAAACAAACAAAAATAACTAAGTTTAATAAGTTGAGTTAAAAGATTGTTTGCAATATAGAGTTATATACTTTAGTTTTCCTTTTTCAGCCCAGTGGTCTCTGATTGAAAATAGGCAACATTCATTGGAGTAAAATCAAACTGTACAGCAGGACTGATCTGATGTTGTTTCAGTGATTTTTTTCCAAGTAAACTTTGTTTTCATTTTAGTTGAACACTTGCTGATTTTGTGACCATTTTAATCTATTTTTTTTTGTTTTCTTTTTAAAACGTTATTTCCCAGAGATGGGTTGCGGCTGGAAGGGCATCCGCTGCGTAAAAACGTGCTGGATAAGTTGGCGGTTCGTTCCGCTGTGGCGACCCCGAATTAATAAAGGGACTAAGCCGACAAGAAAATGAATGAATGTAAAAACGTTATTTCAGGATGCAAAACTGGCTAAAACTTCAAATTTAAATTTCAATATGAATTGTGTGATGGGGCGAGGCAGTGGCGCAGTAGGTAGTGCTGTTGCCTCACAGCAAGAAGGTCGCTGGGTCGCTGGTTCGAACCTCGGCTCAGGTGGCGTTTCTGTGTAGAGTTTGCATGTTCTCCCTGCCTTCGCGTGGGTTTCCTCCGGGTGCTTCGGTTTCCCCCACGGTACAAACACATGCGGTACAGGTGAATTGGGTAGGCTAAATAGTCCGTAGTTTCCCAGCGATGGGTTGCGGCTGGAAGGGCATCCGCTGCGTAAAAACTTGCTGGATAAGTTGGTGGTTCATTCCGCTGTGGCGACCCCGGATTAATAAAGGGACTAAGCTGACAAGAAAATGAATGAATGGATTGTGTGATAGTGTGGTTGATGTTTTAACACTTATTCAATGCTTTTCTCAGTGTAAATATAGTGATTTAATTTTGCTTAAATAAATGCAGATTTTGTGACCATTTTTATCTATTTACCATCATTGAGTTAACATTAATGCAGGGTGCAAAACTAGCTAAAAATCAATGATGATTTTTAACGTCGTTTCAGTTCTAGTTTGGTTGATGTTTTAACATTTATTCAATGTTAATTTAACTTATA